AATACATAATATAAAAATATTGAATATAAGCACCAGTACTACATTTATTTACGATTTGCATACATAATAAGCTTTTATTACTCTCTTTCATTTCTAAACAGACTATAACATTAATATTATTTTATATATAACAATAATTTATTTTAAATTAATAACAAAAAATCATTTACAACCATCTTAAGTACAATTTGGGGACCTTTAACAGTAACACCAGAAAAACTACCTAAATTTTCTTTGCCATCAAATAAATGTTGTTAATTTTCCCTAAAAGTTAATTCAGAAAAATTATCATCACTAGTTCTATCGACTCCTGCTATTAAACGAGATATTTTGTTCTTGGACGTTATGGCAACTTCTACATATCCTGATGCTACAGTATCACTCTTCCATTTTCTAAGTCTTTGCAATGTGATCATATCTGCACCAGCTCTACGAGAAGAACAATGACCTATGTACATTGTAGTATCTGCGTAGCCGAAATATTTTGTAATCCTGGACGGTATGCTATCGTAGGTACTTTTGCCTACTGGTTCATCGATCATTCCGATATGTCAGAAAAAAAACGCCGATTTTTAATTTCTTTTGGTCGCAAAGATATACACTGTCGATACAATTGGAGAGCGTGCATTTCATTTTCTTCCACAGTAGTAAAAGATTTTGGTACTCCAGTTTTTGTATCGTTAATTTTTACTACAACAACGATTCCTTTGTCATCTATATCATCTATCGAGAGCTTTACCAACTTATCTCTTAATCCTCCAAAAACACCCATCACTAGAACAACCTACAATAACAAAAACCTTTTAAGCACGTGCAATAATATACCCAATTATTTCCTATATTACCTTATCTAAAAGATATGTATGACTTGATGCTTCTCTAATAAATTTCAAAATATTCTCTTGCTAATATCTTAGATTTTTTTGGAATACGTCCTGTCGATATTTGCTTCAAATAAGCCTCTAATCGATGATAGTCTCCTATATTTATTTTTCTGCGCACTAATAATGTCTTCAACATTGAATACTTTATCCACAATGTGGGCAGAATGATTCTGACTAAAAGATATATAAAAAAATATAAATTATCAAAAATAATAAATATTTCTTTAAAGTGATAAAAGGTAATACACACCAGTTCTTGGAAATATCCCATTAATATAGCTCCACTAAACAGCTGTAACTGAATTTCTGCTTGTCCAAGTCTCAAAACGTTTATATTCTTTATCTTCTAGTAATTTAGATTTCTTAGGCAGTAATTCTTCATTGGCTTTATTGGCTGTAGCAGCAACTATTGCTGGAATATTATCCATTCTGCCTTTTCAATATGTCTCCTCAAAATCAAACATCAAACTATCAAACGTAACAAATTTTCGGGTGTTTCGATACATCTTGGATACATCATTTATATATTGAAAAACTGTTTTCATTCTCATTTACATTAAATTATTAAATTTAAAACAAATATAAAATCGGATGTCAAGTAAAAAATAAAACATTGTATGCACCACGGGAGCTATATTATTAGGGATTATTATAATCATCCCTGTATCTCCCTTGATACATAAATAACTATTATGTTCTAGAACGCCAGTCTTTTTCGTTCGATATTTTTAATATCGGCTCTTTTATTTTTATTTTGCTTCAACGTGTATTAAGCTAATTCAAATCACACCTTCAAAAGTACCTTAATAATATCTTTAAAATGGAATAATAATAATTGGATGCATTGTTTAAAAAAGTGAAAATTGAAATAAAAATTTCATCTCTTTGAAACCAACTATATTAAAAACAACTGCGAAGGTAGTTAATAATTAAGGATATTGTAAGAAACAAACTACTCTGCGTACTAAAGCTCCGTCCAGGATTGGGTTACACCCACAATATCTAGTAAACATATTTCACCCATATTAATTAATAGTTCTTTAAGAGAAAAAAATCTTCGAAGTTGCTTTTTAGGATACCTATATGTTGGTTCAAAGATGTGATATGGCTTTATCATATGAGATTTTAGGAAAATTTTTGACCCAGTGTGAATTAATATAATACCTTTTAAAGTAAAGTAATAATTAACAAACGTTTGGATGAAAGTTATGAAAGAAAATATTAAATATTAATTTATGTACGATTTATAAAATTGTTGTTTAGAAAACGCAGACATTGTTATAAAATATTTCTTTCTTTTTATTATTCCTGATTACACACGTGAGAAATTAAAGGCAGCCGTAACCGGGGGCGCAAGAAAAAGTTAATAATTTTATTAATTAGGTATTAAGGTGTAGTATTGAATACCTATTGCAATGTTATGACTACATAAATGATTTAACGGTTTTACTATTAACCTTGTCTTATGTAATTATATTTTATGATCCCTCGATGAGTTATGTTGAAAGTTAAGCGTTTTATGTACTTTTGTTTAATTGGCTTCTTTCCCACAGTTTTGAAAAATTACCTAAAACGAAATGTCAGTCAGAGGTTAATCCACAATATAATTTTTGCTTCGAAGAAACTTAAATGAGAAAGATACAGGGTATTCTTTAAGTCTATGTCAGAAAGTAGGTACCGTGTTTTTTTTGCATCGTTTTAGATAAAAAAGTCTTAGTAAACTAAAACTTAGAGATACTGGTTGCTTGAGATACAGGGTTTAGAAATTTGAAAACAATGCCACATTTATTCAAATACCTATCTCTGAAGATGCTTGTCGTTGATTAATGAAATTTGAGCTTGTGGTAAAATTTACTTAGTTACACAAAAAAAGTATGGTATTTTTTTTAAATACATACCGTCAAAAGTAATAAAAATTCATTGGGGTACAAATTTTATTTATCATTCATTTTTTTTAACTGTCTTCTAGATATCCCTCAGCAAGTAAAAATGTATGCGACTGATATTTTTAGACTTTTGACGAATGTGCTTTTTTTTGTTATGGAATGAATAGCATTTTACATTTATTTAACACTGATAAGTTTATTTCAAAAATAACACAAAAACGTTTTTTTTTTTTTTTTAATAAAATGGGGGATACTTTTTCTCGTAGAAACAGAAAGCAATAGAAATTAAATACCTTTAATTTTCAAAATACTCGGAATAAATATTCTAGGGTCTCCGCCACTGATTGACAGATTTGTACACATCAGTGAATTTTTGTATTTTATTAAACAAATCATTATAAAAAGTTTGACCAATTTGGGTCAAACATCTTCGAAGATATAGGAAAGTGTTTTTTTTTTAACTAGTGGCTTTTGACTATTGATTTATTAAGACTGGTCTAAAATGAAATGAAATAAGTAATCATTTGAAGTTATGACATACACTTAGAAAAGGTGCTGTAAATTCTCAAAAGTTCATATCTAATTGTCGTGGATTTTGGTAGAACACCAAATGCCAATGTCAACCATAATGGTGCAGAGAGTCCAGTGTCTTGGCCAGCCAGATTGCCATATCTAAACCCCCTGGACTTCTATGTTTGGGGTTATCTGAAAAGTAAAGTTTATTCCAACAGATACAAGACCACAACTACTGTAATGAATAGAAAACAGGTATAATGAATTATATTAGGTATTATAACGTTAATTTTGTTTCTTCTTTAGTTGCTGTTGCTTGGTAAACATATTTTTATTATTATTTTCATTTAAATTGTTCTTATTTGTAAAGAGTATTAGGTCTACAGGGAAAACTAAAACACGCCAGGAACACTACCTCACAGGTGATGTAGAAAGGAGTGTAAATAATTTTGTTGGTATGCTTACAAATTGCACTTATTTTTAAGCATAAACATAAATATTCTTGTAATATTATGGTTACAAGTGTCTGCCACAAGGGGATTGTATTGGTATGAATAATTTGAGAACGGCGAATCTTAGGGAAAAAAATAAAGTAACCTTTTGACATATTTTGTGCATTAGAATATAAATCAGTTACAATGACTTGTAAAAAATGCAGTGGCGTAGGTTTTTTGTAGAAAAAAGTGACCCCTGTCCAGTTGACTGACTTCGGAAAGACTATACAATATAATTAGTTAAAAACTTTATTTCGGCTTGATTTCATTGTATTTACAGATTAGTAGGTCGCTCTCTGCCAACACGTAGAAAGTAATACTTTCTACCTGGAGGCATTGAATAGCAGTGGCATTTAAGATGTAACACATATTGTAGGTTATATCTCACTGATACTTATAATTAATGACAACTAAGCTATTTTCTTTAACAGCTTGTATTACATGATATTTCTTTCTGTTGCAGGTATTACGGGTACAGGAACCCGAACAATGAGATAGACCATAGACTGAGAGTGTTCTCCCACCACCCCTACCTGTTCGAAAACAAGGACATCTTGGACATCGGCTGTAACATCGGGCACATAACGCTGTCGGTGGCGAGAGACTTTCGCGCCCGTAGCATCACAGGCATAGACATTGACCAAAAATTGATCTCGATAGCTAGAAAGAATATCAAACATTACGTTAAAACGGTAGAATCTCCCAGGCCAGACGAGGCACAGGTCGCTAGATTAAGCGAGGCAAAAAGTAGTGAGTTTTTTCCTATTAGTATGCCTATATTATACGGAGCCATTGACATTCCAGGCTTCCATGACAAACCGAAAGGAAGAGGATTCCCTAATAACGTCACGTTTAAACAAGTAGGTATTTCTTTGCCGACTGTTTTTTATAGGAACAGACGTTCCGTGTAAGCCTTGGGCGTTGACACTTAAGTGTCTAGAAGGGATCTTGATATTAAATGCCCATTTATAGGGAAGTCGATATCCGTTGCAAAAAATCATAATATTTAATCTCTAGATCTTATCTAGATACTTGAAGTATAATTAAATATGTCCCAATTAACACAAAAAGGGTGCAAAAACACAACTATTATCAATGAAAGTGTTTATGTGAGATTTAAAATTGATACAAATTAGTTGTTTCATAAAAAAAACGAAGCTAGGTAACCTCCAGAAAAAACGAGCACCCTGTATAATAGAAAATAATTTTAAAACATGAAGAAATTGATTCGGTGCAACTTTTATTAAAAAATTTTTTGTTGTATTGACATTATCAGAGTTTTGTAAGAGCCTCTCTTAAATGAGACACTTTGTATGCAGTATAATAAAATGAAACAGTTAAAGTTACCCTCTAAAACTACACTTTATGTAAGGTGTAGAATTTTAATAATAACTGTGTAAATTAGTGTCCAGATGTCCTAAGCTTAATTTTTAAATATGAATGAAATATCTTGAAAGGCTTTTAAGATAATGCGAAAACATGATATCTTCCGCTTGCTTTTAACTTTCCCAAAAAAAAGTTTTTATAAAACTTGCGCTGAAAATGTTGCGAGACAATTTAGAAAATACGTTCGACAAACACGCTTTACGTTGTTTTTAATTTTGTGTTGATAATTTCAATAGGTCTTAAATTTTATTGATTATAAATATTTACGTTATGAGAAAAACCGAAAAAAAATCTTTTTGGAAACGAGAGTATTTATTGTTATAATCAGGAGTGAGTAATCTGGTGCATTTTCATGTCCCAACTTGCCGGAGAAATTTATGTGTGTACACATAAAACATTTTAGGTTTACTAGCTGGCAACTGTTCAAGAATTTTCTACTACTTGAGTAGCTATAATGTTGCAACCACTAACGATACTCGGATACAAGTAAGATCAGTTGTCTATTAAGTACATACTATTTGTAATTTATCTGCCTGATAGTTTTTTCGTTACCATAAAGTGACTAAAAATGATTTCAAATGAGGCAGAAATGATAAATCGTGATCGGAACAATAAGTGTTAAACGTTTTGTTTCAAATATTTTAATTTACGTTTTCCTGAGTTAAGTAACAATTAGAGTACAGGGTGTCAATATTTCTAGGTGTATGTACATGCACACAATAAGAACAAAACAAATAATAAATAGACCCTAAGGATGTGTATTCCTCAGAATTTTTATTTGAAATATAACACATTATTTTGCTCTCTTTACTTGGCTTCAACAGTTTTTTTTTTCAGTTTTTGAAGATTAAGCTATTAAATTTTTGTGCATATAACGCCAAGTTGTCTTTTTTTTCATGTAAACTCATAAAAAATCGAAAAACAGTAAATTAATTAATGAAATGAATACATATACAAGTAGGATGACCCAAAAAAAAAACGATTTTTTTTCGTGTCTCTTGTGAAAATATGTTAGTTATCATGTTTTAAAAGCCCCTCAAAAAATCAGCTCAAAAAAAATTTTTTTTGAGCGCTCAAGATTTTAAAAAATTTTCAAAATCGTTAAAAATTGAATTTTTTTGTTAGTTTCAAATTTTTTTTCACGTTATTTTATCATTTTCTAGGTTGAAAAAAATCTCGATTCTGAAAATTTTAAATCGATATTTTAATTTCTAAAGGTCACTCATAATTATTATTTTAACTTTTAAAATAGTGTACCTAAAATGTTTTCGATCGACCTCTAAAAATAAATATCAACGAACTAATAATTTTTTTTATTGAATTTGATGAACAAAATAATAGAAATGTCACGAGCCACTTAAAAATTTTCTCGAGGCAAAATTTACTACCACACTGTGAGTATCAAATATTTATAATTTTTTAATTTTTTTAAATTTAAGTATCGTGATTTATTTCTATTCTTTTGTTCATCAAATTCAATAAAAAAAAATTAGTTTGTTGATATTTATTTTTAAGTCGCTCAAAAACATTTAAGGTACACTACTTTGAAATTTAAAATAATTTTCAGAATAGAGATTTTTTTCAACCTAGAAAATGATAAAATAACGAGAAGAAAAATTAAAAAAAAAATCAATTTTTGAAACTTTTAAAAATCTGGAGTGATCTCTAAAAATTTTTTTTTTGAGCTGATTTTTGAGGGGGCTTTTAAAACATGATAAACTAACATATTTTCACAAGAGACACGAAAAAAAAATATTTCGTTTTCATTGGGCCATCCTAAATATACAGGAACTATAAATTTTAAAAATTTAAACATTAATAAATCTTTATAACGAGCGTTCAAATAAAAACATGGTCAAGTTGGTTCTGAAAATTTGGACGTAGGGCGTAGCGTATAGCAAATGAACTTAAACGTCATCTGTCAAAGCGCTATATCGCCGCTATCAATTTGAATATTTTCGTTTTAAAAAGCGTTTAAAATGGTGTTTTCTCAAGAACAAAAAGTGTTTATCATAGAGTCCTACTTTAGAAATGGACGCAAGATTGATGGAATATGGAAGTATTCTATTGAGGAATGTTTCATAGAATTTCAAAATCAATTTCCCGGCGTTGTTGAGTACAAAATTTTTCAAAGTGCAGTTCAGCGTTGTGTTAATGTTTTTCGTGAAACGGGCAGTGTAACAAGAAAAGAAGGAAGCGGCCGACCTAAAAAGCGGACTGAAGAATTAAAAGAAAATGTCCAACAAATAATGGAAAATGCGCCAAGAACTTCTGTACGTGTTTTATCACAAATGGTGGGAGTATCAGTCGGTACCTGCCACACAGTGTTAAAAAAAGATTTGCGTTTGTTCTCCTATCGTTTAACTTGTCAGCAAGAACTTCATGAAGTTGATTTTCCGCGACGGGCTGTATTTTGTGAATGGTTTTTAAACAACTACGGTGAACTTCATAATATCACCTTTTTTTCTGATGAAGCCTGGTTTCATTTAAGTGGTTACGTAAACTCACAGAATATGAGAATGTGGTCTTCTGAAAAACCAGATAACTTTTTTGTCGAGGGCCCTCTACACGCTCAAAAAATTGGAGTTTGGTGTGCTCTCAATCGAAGGAGGATTTATGGACCTATTTTTTTTAATGGTACTCTTACTGCGCAAAGGTATAGAGAAGAAATTATCGCTCCTTTTGTTAACCAGCTGGAAGAAAACGAAATTACAAACTTTTACTTTCAACAAGATGGCGCAAGGGCACATACGGCAGGCGAGACGATGAATATGTTGAGGGAAGTTTTCCAAAATCGACTAATAAGTCTCAATGCTGAACATGAATTTCCACCGAGGTCATGTGATATTACGCCGTGTGATTTCTTTTTGTGGCCTTACCTTAAAAACACTATTTTTGAACTGCCTATTCCTGATTTAAACCATCTGCAGGCTCGACTTATAGACAAGATTCGTGAAATTAACAATACCCCGAGCATCTTAGAAAATGTCTTTAATTCTTTGAGGAACAGGTGTGAAAAGTGCTTGGAACAAGGAGGGGGACACTTTCAGCAGCTGCTTTAATTTATTGTTATAACAAGGAGGGGGACACTTTCCGCAGCTCCTTTAATTGTTTGTTATTGTTATCACGATTATTCTTTAAAATAAAGTTATATAGTCATTAACGTTATTGAAACTGACAGCTGCTATACAGCTCGTTGAGAAAAGAGGTTAAGTTGGTCGCTATAAGCTACTCCCTACGTCCAATGTGTCAGAGCCAACTTCGACCACGTTTTTATTTGAACGCTCGTTAAAAATGGGTACAGGGATATTCTGAGGAAAGTAGAAATATGTTTTGTTACTAAAACAATTGTCTAAAATAATTAGTAATACAATTTTTCAAAAAATTTCAATTTTTTTTTTACTCCATATTAAAGACTTGTACACCTTATAAAGACACCCTGTATAAAGTGTGTAACTTTCAATGAGACTCGTATTTATAAGGAGGCTACCTTTGACCTTTAAAAATCATAATAAATTTGTAAATGAATAATCTTTTCTTGATTCGTTTCATTTACATATTTTTTCATATTTTACAGAAATTAAACAACGAAGACATAAACACACCTTAAACCCGTAAACCCATAAACCAATAATATAAATTCAAATAATTTGTTAATGTACGGTGTTTGCTCATCATTGACATCAAAAAAGTATGGTGACTTTAAATGAAAAGTTGCAGTCATACAAAAGCATTCTGTTTATACAAAATTATTTTCCATTGCAGTTTTGCTCTCTGCCACTCTGTTAATCTTATACAGAGTGTAACTTTAAAAGGGGGTGATAGTACGTGTTCCTCTGAATACAAATTTATTGCAAAATTAAATGAAAAAAGTGCTTTTTCTTTAATTGTTAATAACTTTGTAATAATTAATAAAATCTTACCAAACTTTCCCAAAATGTGAGCTTTTATATCCTTAAGACATGTGCAAAAGATGGGCTCGATCGGTCATATAATTTTTGCAAAATTCCATTATCCCATTTTTGCAAAAAAGGCCCATTTTCAAATGACTATTCCGGGGGCAGGGTTATTACTAAAACATTCTTTTTGGGCTCATTTTCTTCGAAGGGACACCAAGTATCCTCTAGTAAAAAAAATTTATTTTTTTTCAAATTTAGTTGTAAAAAAATTGCTAACTCCGGACCTATTAGTCGTAGAAACTTTTTATTTTCAATCTAGGTTTTTTACGAGCTTTCGAATGGTGTAAATATAACTTCTTTCAAAAGTTAAAAACCGCGGAATTATTTAATTTTTTTATTAGGGAAAAAAGTGCCTCTTATTTGTTAACAATTGAATACATACAACTAGATTTGAAAAAAATATATATTTTTTTTTAACTAGAGGATACTTGGTGTCCCTTTGAAGAAAATGAGCCCAAAAAGAATATTTTCGTCATAACCCTGCTCCCGGAATAGTAATTTGAAAATGGGCCTTCTTTTTGCAAAAATGGGATAATGGAATTTTGCAAAAACTATTTGGCCGATCGAGCCCAACTTTTGCACATCTCTTAAAGATATAAAAACTTACATTTTGGGAAAGTTTGGTAAGATTTTATTAATTATTTAAAAAGTTATTCACAATTAAAGAAAAGGTACTTTTTCCGTTTAATTTTGCAATAAATTTTTTGTTTATAAAGCAATTTTAACTCATAAAGTCTCATTTTAAAGATGAGTTTCTCTAGATCAAACCGTCTGTTGAACTTTTTTGCCAAGATTAATAGTTTATTTACAATAACGCGTAGAACGAAAAATGAGTTTTTGGCCTATTTGTTGATAAAAAACAATGACGCTATATTTTTTTCATGTATTATCATTCCCAAGACTTTCCAACAATAAAATCACGACCAGCAATTTTCACGATTTCTCGATGATTTTTCACCTTTATTTCTTGGTCTACTGTGCGATCGACTACATTTGTATAATTTCATCAAATCCATTTTATTAAATCTCATCCGTCACTTCTACACATTATAAATTTTGTAATTTTAATTTTTCTATAAAGTACCAATATGTAATGATCAAATTCTCGTTATTTTTTTGTGCATTCTTTATTCAATGTTATTTCCACAACATAATTTTAACTGTGTCACATCGTAAATTGTTTAATCGTTCTCGACTAAGCCTTACGTTGATTTTTTTTTTAGTGCAACTACATATTAGAAGACGACAATCTAATTGCGCTCGAACAGCCTCAGTACGACATTATACTGTGTCTGAGCATCACGAAGTGGATCCATTTGAATTGGGGCGACAACGGCATCAAGCAGGCTTTCAGGCGGATGTACGCCCAGTTACGTCCCGGGGGCAAGCTGGTCGTCGAACCTCAGAACTGGGCCAGTTACAAAAGCAAACGGAAGTTAACGGTAAGAACAAGGAATCGAACTTCGCAACAGAACCATATCCAAATTACAGCAAACTCAAAAACAAAAAAAAAAACGTCTGTACGAGAACATGGCGCCCAACGTGGGGCGAACGAACAACTAAATATCTTCTCATTTTACTAAATTTCTTTTTAAAAACGTGTTCTATTATTAGTTCTCGTATAACTAGATTTCTGGTATCAAAGAACATTGTTTGAATTAACTTAATACTTTTAAAACGGAATAAAAAAAAATAGGAAAACCAACAGTAGAATACAGGTTTAAAAATAATTAATAATAATTTTTATGTTAAAATTTCAGGAAACCATCTACAAGAACTACAACGCCATAGAATTCTTCCCGGAGAAGTTCCGGGAGTACCTGCTCTCGGCGGCGGTGGGCTTTGCCAAGAGCGAGATCCTCGGCTATCCCCCGCACCTGTCCAGGGGCTTCAGGAGGCCCATCCAGGTGTTCACGAAGAGCACCATGTTCCCCAGCGAGCGGATAGAGGCCACCCCGAACAGCATCACGCCGAACGTTGGGGTCTACAACGACTCCCTCTACCAGAAAATTTGCAAGACTGAGAAGTATGAATCTCGAACACAGCCAGAGATCTGCGTCGAGCACGTCTACACCGACATCATTGAGAATAGGTATTGCGGGCGCGAGGAGGACATTACGGAAGTCAATGAGTGCATCGAGGAGGATTTGAGGAATACGGAGGAGATGGAGTGCAGCAATACTAGTCAGGCGGGGGCGGGACGGGTGAACGGGGAGGAGGACAAAGTGAAGGGGCTGGAGAAGAGCGGGAAGGCGGGCGAAGTAAACGGGCTAGAGCCGGACGATAAAGGTGACGTTTCCGGTGAAAATACTTAGGTTTAGGTGTAAAATGGACTCGGTAATTTTTTTTTTTGTAAATATTGTTTAAATATTTTTTATTTCAATTAACTGTTAACGAATTGCTTTTGTAAATATGTATATGCCGAAAGTATTACATTTTCTTTAAAAAGTGCGATTTTTATTTCGGGAAGGTTCTAACGAGTGATTGTTTTCGTTTTAAAATCTTCACTGTTACTCAACGCCTAGATTTTTAATATGGCCAAGCTGACAGAGAGCGACCTGCTATTTCACAGGTTCTATGAAAGCAATGCTTATGTTGCTACTAAGCGAAACAATTTTCAACTAATAATACTATGGGCAACAACTACTCTGTGGACTAATCTCCTGACCAGCGTTGAATAGGGTAGTTTCAACCATTAAGAAAATGGAAATATTAATTTCTCAGAAATATACATTTTATTTATGTTTTTGGTGAAAGAATTCATTATTGTAAATCTTGAAGTTTTTTTTTACTTTAAGGGGGCTCTATAGCAAATAGGCAACCAGCAATACATTTTTATCGATTTGTATAGTACATAGTTTGTCTAAATATGAATTAATTCACAAATAATAGACTTCCCCTCATTTTAACGCAGATTTTCTACAGGATGTAAGAAGTTTGACTGCCATTACTTCAGCATGATATAGAGCAATCATAAATGAACAAAAAAAGTTGTATATTACTGGGGGGTAAGGTTAAAAGTTTTCAAAATATGTTGAGTTTTAATATTGGGGAATTTCATCACAACGTGACAACAGCGTTTAACCTAACGCTACACAGCTGATGCACACCATGTGAATGCAGCAGACTTGTCCTACGGAAAAAATGTAAGCTATTATTGTGAAACATTTAGTAAATTTCAAGACAATTGTTTTCCAGTTTTTAAATAAATAAAATAGAATGTATCGATTTTGCAGTACGAAGATAGTGTTGTGCTTAAATTTTAGCTCGAATTTTAGTAATTATGAATCTCTTAAAACAGGAACTTAAATTTTAATCAAATTATGAATTTGAAAAATATGTAATTAAAATACCCACAGATTCACGTCGTCCAAATAATCATACGTATTAAAAATAATTTAGGGACTTAACCAAAAAGCAAAATTCAGTAATTTTTAAAGGCACAACTACAAAACAAACTACAACATATGCTCAAAACGTCCACCACCAAAGAAAGGAGAAAGGAGAAAAGGAAATAGTGGTACGCAAAAAACACTCTAACACGGTCGAATCCAGATACCAACTGAATTGTGTATTGGTGGACAGCTTAGTGCCTCGTGTTAATCACTGCCGCACAGTGGGAAATATTGGAAACAATTCGAACCACGTGTCAAAACTAATAGTACTGATTTTTTTTTATTCTTTCCGAAACTACCTGTACTATAAAGTTCCGCTGAGGTAATTGGAATATAGGCCTAGAATTTTTACAAAACGACCGTGTAATCTCTAGCCTCAAACTCGATGATACGAAGTTCGACTAATTCGGTAAAAAAAAGAAATTATGTACTATAGGCTACCAAACAGAAAAAAAATCATAAACATTAAACATATTCCTAAATCATGAATCTAGACCCAAAACATAACCTCAAATTTATAAATCTTAACCTAAAACGAACATACTCAATTTCCTTTGTTGAAGAAAATGTATTGTTTCTGTGGATTTTTAACTTAATTATTTTGGATTTGAGGTTAGGTTTTCAGGTTTCCTGGTCAGCTTCATATAAATTTCAGTTAAAGTTATGCAAAAATATTGGTTGCACACTCAAAAGTACCAGTTTTATGGATTTATACTCACAGGTTTAGAAAAAATTGAGTATGTTCGTTTTAGGTTAAGATTTATAAATTTGAGGTTATGTTTTGAGTCTAGATCAACGTTGCCAGATTTTTTTTGCGCAAAGCGGGATTTTTTCGTCCAGAAATGGGACATACTAAGGGTTACCAGATCTATTTATCTATTTCATGACAGACGCAGAGTCATGAAGCATTTGTAAAAAAAAAATTCAGAATATCTGAAATTGTTTTCAAAGAAATTGATGTCTAAAAAAAAACGTAATCAGGAAATATATGCTTAATAACCGACCTGGAGAAAATAATTGATGCCTAAAAAAACAAAACAAGAGCAGGAAAAACGAGACAGCCTGTCCTGCGCGAGACATTAATTTTGGATTAAAAATTAGGACATCTGGCAACGCTGGTCTAGATTCATGATTTACGAAAGTGTTTAATGTTTATGATTTTTTTTTTGTTTGGCAGCCTTTAGTACATAATGTTCCTTTTTTTTTTTTCATTTTTAGATACCGAATATGTCAAACTTCGTATGATCGAGTTTGAGGCTAGAGATTACTCGGCCATTTTGAAAAAACTCTAGGCATATATTTCGATTACCTCACCGGAACTTTATAGTACAGGTAATTTCGGAAATAAAACAAAAAATCAGTACTATTTGATTAGTTTTAACGCGTGGTTCGAATTTTTTCCAATATTTCCCACTGTGCGCCCTTGTCACATTGCTCGATATGAATTTTATCGAATTTTAAATTTATGACAACAATAATTATTTTTTAGAGCATAAAGAAATTTAAAAAAATGATAAACTTTGTATTTTGTGGTATTCTATGCACGCAGTTATTCATATTTCTTAATTAATCGAACTGTTGTACATCAATTTGGAGATTTTGATCATTTTTTTCTCGGAAATAGTTGAGTTTAGGACCCCATATCATATAAGGTTTTTTTTTGTTTATTTTAATGTATTCTATCGTCTGTTAAAATTAAGGCAGTCAAACTTGTAACACCCTGTATAAAATGGAGTTAGTTTGAGGCTCAACTAACTATTTGTTGTAATGAAATTTGTAATTTACAATGCCGCTTGTTCAAAAGCGGTAAATTACAAATTTCTTTACAACAAAAAGTAACTTGAGTTTCAAACTAACAACAAGTCCATTTTATAGAAAATCTGTGTTAGAATGGAGGAGTCTGTTATTAATTCATATTTACACAAACTGTGTAATAAAATCTATAAAAATGTATTGCTGGTTGCCTATTTGCTATAAAGCCCTCTTTATCTGAAAGTTTAATTGTGTGACATCACCAAGCGGAAAATTAGGATAAACCACTAAATGGCTAGAGAAATTGATGGCAATGGCATAACTGTAGGTGACTATATGAAATGGGAAAAACCAACCATAATTGAAAGATAGAGGAATTCGCCACAAATTTGCTGATTTTTGTTTACAAAACGTAAATGGTACCGCAACTAGAAATTCTGTACCCAAATCAGTGCAAACATCAATGTGGCACTCAAAATTTAGCATTTACAGAAAAAATAATATATGACAAGGGTTATTGGTAATAAATGAAAAATTATCACTTGTATAGTGAGACTATTAAAAACTGTTGATTTTAGTACTTTTGCACTGTCGCCGATCTTTCGTCAGCAGAACCACCAGACATATACTGGTTTTAAACTTATTAATTTTCATCTGTATGCTACAGCAGCTTCGAGTTTTAAGGTGTTTTAATCAGCACCAACGTGATAATTGTATAAGTTGTGTTTTGTGAGGTTGGCTTTTGAAATTTAGAATTGTTTCTTTACGGAAATGTACAATTAAATATTTAAATTTTTTAAGCAAGACGTTTTTATGCATAATTTTCAGTGAATTTATAGCAGTTTTTTTTAAGCAAGTTAGGGCTCGTCCATTATTCACGTGAGGTTTTTAGGCCACTTTTTTGCACCCTCCCTCTCCCCGGTGATGTGTGGTGACGCTCTAAAATACCCCATTTATTTTTTTTGTTAAAAATATCTTCAGAATAGTTTTGAATATAAAAAAAATAAAAAAGCAGCACATATTTATTTAAAAAGCAGTTTCCTCGGACCATGGGTTTACTCAACTGTTTTCGACACTAACAAGTGGACAAGCATCCTGAAAGTACAAAAAGCGCTAGCCTGAAAAAGTGGTGTCAAAGAAATACAAGTAACAAGTTTATCTTTATGTAATGTTGGTTGTCTACCCCAAAGGCGTAAAGCTTCAGACAAAGAAAGTGGTGGGTTCAAGTACCTAAAAACAGTCTTTCTGCAATTAAGTGACACACAAATGAAAGTGGACATCAATAGATTTGAAATTAAAAAACTTATTAAGAATCTCACTTTAAAGTAAACAATAAAAAATTGTTTTTTTTTTGGAAGATATTGTCATATTACAAGTCCTGCATTTTGAATTTCACTCGACGTCCAAAGTTGACCTACAATGCCATTTGCAGAGCTCCGCATGAGGAAAGGTAGTTGCTTCTGTTCGAGGACTTGGCCGCAGAACATGCTGAGTGGAAATCAAAATTTTTACCTAAGTTTCAAATGCAATTGCCGAAACTGTTCTCAGAGTTGTAAAATGCTCCAAACACCCCAAGCTGCAGTAGAGAGTAGATGACATCTAAAGAGCCCAACGTTTTTGGCAGAGTGACTACCGATGACCCTTGCGAGAGTCCAAAAATTTTACCCAAAGATTTCTCTTTGCTACCATGACATAGTTCCGATAACAGAACTTTAGTGGCTTATTCTTTTTTTGGAATTCTATCTCAACAAATATCGTATGGACTTTAATTGGTAATTTGCGGCAAGTTCATTTCGTAAACCTGTAAGAGATTATTAAACAAGCAGATGTCAAACTACGCCACTATAAACATCAAAACTGTAACTTTAAATTCTTTACAGGTCAGTGTAGTTCTTCAAATTATCAAATTGTTTCAAAAAGGATGCCCATTTAGATTTAGAGGAACTACAAAATTCAGTTCGTATTCAATTGTATTTAGAGTCACTCTCCTAAAATTGACCTAAATATCTCAGAAAGTCTGTATTGCAGGGCTTTCATTTGATCAGATTGGAGACAAATCTAACAAGACACATCTTTACAATTTTTTATTATTAGATATAAACTAAAATCAAATAGTCATCAAAGAGGACTGATTTCGGGAGTTATTTCCAGAACTCTGTTGTAGTTTTAAAATTGTAGCTTGTTCATATCACATTAGACGAAGAATATTTTTGACTTTCTTTGTCCCAATCTATATATCATTCCATGTTTTCGTTCA